GGAGTCTAATTCGCAAGGCAGCGGAGCAGCGTCAGGAGCTGCATTCCCATGGTTGCCAGTGAACAATATGGGTCCTTACACCATTTGATCCGACTGGATACTGGAGCCCATGTACCCCATGGTAACTGCTTTTGGTTTAACCGCTATCCAAACAACCTTCGTGACATGGTAGGACCTGCAGGGACAGAGTCCCAGTCAGTTTAGCATGTTGGGTTATTACGGTATTCAAGCCCGACCACCACGACAAGGTAGCAGTTATCGGCCGGGTACAGCAGGTTGAAGATGAGGCAGTAACTCATCGAAGAAGACATTGCGAAATGGTAACGCTATGCCCTGAATTGACAGAAGTTAGAATTCATGGACTGGCCATTGGATCGGGTCTCAGTGGCTTAGCGGTCTACGATCTCGCCTTGTAACCAGAAGGTCCTTGGTTCGATCACAGTCGGTGGATGCGTACTGATGAAGAGTCCCAAACTAGGACGAAATAGCTGTTCAGTATTCTCAGTTGATTTTCCAGTGGTCCTCTAACTGATGTCAGCTCATGATGAAATCCTCCATGCAATCAAATAATGAAAATCCACTCCGAATTGTTTGACTGGACTTGTAATAATCACATTTTATAGTCAGGAATTATAACCTCAACACTGATTATTTGAGGAAGTACAGAATGAAAGCGTATTATTTCCTCTCAGTAACCATCACACACACAGAGATGACAGCCAAATTTTATTCTCAGAAAATCTGTCAAATTATCTTACACATTTAAATTATACATTCCTGTCAACCGAGGCTCGAACCCATTGCCTATAGTTTCAAACGCCAAAGCGTTATCCACTAGATTACTTGGGCATCCTTGATTCCACTGCTAGTCACCATCCACCAATTAAATACTGAATGCTCAGACATCGTGGAAGCATCTGCACGAGAAGCCGACATGTCAACCTGAGGCCGAGCACTTCGGTCCAATCAGTCGACGAGAAAGACAAAAATTCAATTCAAATAACAAATTGTTTTATTACATTTTGAGCGTGGGGGGAACTTAAGTTTACGGATACTTACTGCCCAAGCGTATTTCAGTAAGCACCCGTCACTGTTTTAAAGATGAACTTGAAAGCTATTTTGACATTAATCTAATGGTTTTTATTGACTAGGCATTTAGCTATAAACGACGTTACCAGTCTGCCTCTGCTTCTATCCATTTTCCAAAGTTCATCTGTTTTTCTCACCACTTCAGAATATGCTCTCCTGCCCTCACATGCAAAGTACGATTACTCCTCCCTATACATGTGTAGTTAACCTCGCCAGATACTAGCTTGCTAGGCTACTAGCTTACTAGTTTTCTCGCCGGTCCCAAGCCCGGGTAAAGAGGGAGGGTTGGGGCGTGGTGCTAGCAACTCCACCCCTGTAAAACAACCAAATCGCTACAGAAACTTCAACGAATAAATATATTAAAAATTCTAAAAACATAAGCAATAGCCTTACTTTTCGCTGGAATCGGGGAAGTGAAATGACGCAGGCTGGTGAAAGCCTTCGGGAAGCCAGTCAGCCGATGTGCCTTCTTTCGATGAAAGCAAAAGTAAGGATGGGTACCTGGAATGTTCGTACAATGTACGAAACTGGAAAGGCTGCCCAGATAGCCGCTGAAATGAGAAGGTACAGAATAGAAGTGTTGGGAATCTGCGAAGCAGATGGAACGGAACTGGAAGGTGCCAACTACCTACTGGAGAGACAGTAATCTATTCCGGCCACCTAGAGGACAACCATGAGCACACCGAGGGAGTGGCCATCATGATGTCACCAACAGCAACCAAAGCTCTCATGCAGTGGGAACCAATCTCCTCCAGGATAATGACAGCCAGGTTCAACTCAAAAGGAAGGAAAGTTACAGTCATTCAATGCTATGCGCCTACAAACGTCTCAGAACAAGAGAAGAAGGAGGCGTTCTACAGACAACTACAAGCAATAATGGACAACGTCCCAAATGGCGATATCAAAATCCTGATGGGCGACATGAATGCGAAGCTGGGAGGAGACAACACAGGAAGAGAACTCACCATGGGTCGTGAGGCCCTCGGTGAAATGAACGACAATGGTGAACTCTTCTCAGACTTCTGCGCCTTCAATGATTTGGTGATTGGTGGTAGTGTGTTCAAACACAAGGATATACACAAGACGACATGGATTTCACCAGATGGAAACACCAAGAATCAAATAGACTTCATCTCAATTTCAAGAAAGTGGAGACGGAGCCTACTGGACACAAGGTCAAGGAGAGGAGCAGATGTGGGTTCAGACCACTATCTAGTAGAAGGGACTTTCAAGGTGAAACTAAAAGCCTCGAGGATAGCTGGGGATAGGCCACAATGCAAGTTCAACACTCAATTACTGAAGGACACAACCACAAAAGACACTTCACTGCAACTGTCAGAGCAAAGCAGGAAACACTACGCGACATCACTGAAGAATCATGCGTGGAAGAACATTGGAAGTCTCTGAAGGCGATTCTCAACGAAACGTGTTCAACGGTTCTAGGAAGAAAGAAGAGACAAGACAAGGAATGGCTCTCAACGGACACTTGGAAATTAATAGAAGAGAGGAGAATGGTGAAAGAGAAAATGATTCAATGCAAGGACGGACAGGAGAAGGAGACGATGAGCTCAACTTACAAAGCACTGGACAAAGAAGTGAAGAAGAGTGCTAGGAAGGACAAAAGACGATTCTACGACAACCTGCCACTGAAGCTGAGAAGGCAGCAGGCAAAAGGGACCTGAGGACACTATATCAGATAACCAAATCTCTATCCGGGAAGAGACCAACACAAGCGAAACCTATAAAAGACAGCCAAGGGAAGCCCATTACCAAGGAAGAAAAACAGATTAAACAATGGGCGGATCACTTCAAAGGACTCTTGAACCGACCATCACCTGCAACCCGTCCAGAAATACCAACAACAGCGCGCACACAACTGCAAGTTGACACCAATCCTCCAACGAGAGCTGAAGTCTTGAACGCAATCAAGCTTCTGAAAGCTGGAAAAACAGCCGGACCAGATGGAATACCCCCTGAAGCACTGAAAGCAGACCCAGAGACGACAGCAGACATGCTGACTCCATTATTGCAAAAGGTCTGGAAGGAGGGAAAGGTGCCTACTGACTGGAGGAAAGGTTACCTCGTGAAACTACCAAAGAAGGGCGACTTAGGACTCTGCAAGAACTGGCGAGGAATCATGCTCCTATCGACGCCAAGTAAAATCCTGAGTCGCATCATCCTGGAGAGATTAAAGGACGCACTGGAGACAGAACTCCGACCAGAACAAGCTGGATTCAGGAAAGGCAAATCATGTACTGACCAAATTGCAACTCTACGCATCATCATCACAGAACAAAGCATGGAATGGCAATCAAACCTCTACCTCAACTTTATAGACTTTGAGAAGGCCTTCGACAGCGTTGATCGTGAAGTAATTTGGAAATTACTCGAGTACTATGGCGTACCCCAAATATTCATCAACCTTATTCAACAGCTGTACGACAACGGCACATGTCAAGTGATCCACAACGGAAGACTCAGCGAGGCGTTTGGAGTAAACACAGGAGTCAGACAAGGGTGCTTACTATCACCAATGATATTCCTAATTGTGGTGGACTGGATTATGCGTCAGACTGTGGGAAACGAGAAGACAGGAATATCCTGGACCGACGTGAAGAACCTAGAAGACCTGGATTTCGCGGATGATTTATGTTTGATGTCACACACAATCGAAGACTTACAAGCGAAAACCGACAAACTGGTCGAAGAAGCAGCGGCGAAGACAGGACTCCAGGTAAACATAGACAAGACGGAGGTTATGAAAATAACCAACCAACAACAGCAACAACATCCAACGTCAATCACCATCAACGGGAGGGATTTGAAAGAGGTTACTTCATTCACTTATCTAGGGAGCATTGTCTCAACTAAGAAGGAGCGGACGAGGATGTCAAATCGAGCGAGAATCGGGAAGGCGAGAAACACATTCATCAGCCTGAAATCAATCTGGAAATCTTCGTCACTCAGCATCAACAACAAAATTCGGATTTTCAATACAAACGTAAAGTCAGTTCTTCTATACGGATCAGAAACTTGGCGGCGGGTCACAAAGAATATTTCCAAAAGCTGTTGCAGACCTTTATTAACAACTGTCTTCGCTCAATACTGAAGATCAGATGGCCGGAAAGAATCACCAACAAGGAATTATGGGAACAAACAAAGCAAGAACCAATCGCCCAACAAATATGCAGGAGAAAGTGGAGATGGATCGGACACTCGCTGAGGAGACCGCTGGGTGACATCGCGCGCCAAGCCCTCGAGTGGAACCCGAAAGGGAAGCGGCGTGTGGGACGTCCAAGGGTGACATGGAGGAGATCGTGTGAAGAGGAGTTGAAAGAATATGGATTAACATGGATGCAGGCGAAAAGTACAGCAGAAGACAGAAGAAAATGGAGACGTGCAGTTGAAGCCCTATGTTCCACTAGGAACCCAAGGGAGCAATAAACAATAAATAAAATATATACATGTGTGTTTACGCACACATAAATTGGTGTGTGGAGTGGGATGTGACATATTCACTCGTGCACTTTTGAGGCTTACAGTGAAGCATAACTTTTGGCTTTTTTTATAAACCGAGCTGCTTAGCGGGTTCTGCAGATGACCGAGTTTACTCTCTGTCGTTAAATCCTGCTATTTACGTTTCTATAGTTTGACAGCTTAATGAAAACATCTTTCCGCTCTGATAGCGGTACCTTGCTTTCTGTTAAGCATTGTGCTTTGTACTCTTGAAACCGTTAAGGTTTGTTGTACATATAATCAATCATAATTGTAAACTTTTCTATGCTTTTCATATTTTATTCTCTGTCGTATTCAATGAGTTTTAGTTACATATGAAAAGATATATTTTGTCATGAAATAGTCACTCAAATTATAACCCATAATCAGATAAGTCACATAATTGATCAACTAACCATTAAATACTTGGTTATTTTACACACAAATGTTGGTCCATAAAAATCAACTGTTGTCTTCCAGATAATATCAGGTATCAGATTTCCCAGGCCAACGAATAAATCTAAAACATGAAATATTAAAAGAAAAAAATACTAATGTTCATTCTTTCTATGTACATACATACCTAACACAGAATTCTGAATTAAGTTTTGTTCTAAAAATATTAGAAAAAATTCTTGTTTTTACATATATGGTTATGCGGCAAAATGCTTGTCAAACATGCACAAGGTAAGTTGTTGCATTCCCGGTCTATAGTAAGTCTGATAGATAGGGGAGGTAAGGCGTGAGACTAACAACTCTACTCCTGTTAATAACATCAGTGAGATACTAGCACAGCGCCTGCCGAATTACGCTGTGTCTTCAAAATCACTCCTCTATCGAGTTTGAGAGTAAAAGACAAACTGCCTAATTTCGCCTCTTCCATGTGTATCTTCCAATTTTCCTGCTCCTGTGGAGCCAGCTAGTTACATAGGTGGTACGTCGGTGGCACAGTGGTTAGGACTCTCGCCGACCATGCACATGGTCCGGAGTTCGAGCCCACGCCGGCGCACACCTGATATCTATGGTCGGCCTGCAAAATTTGGGCTACCGATATCCATGCTGAAAATTCCATACTTGTACCAAAAATACAGTGTGGAATCAAGCTGTAAATCAAAAAAAAAATAAAATAAAAAAAATAAAACTAGGCGTGTTTCTCGTTAGATTTCCGAACATCACCCTGCGTGGTTGGTTAAATGTAGGATAAAAAAAATCTATTCGCAGCGCTTTTCTACCTCATCTTGTGGATACAGAACGCAAGAAGGATGTTAAAGCTGCCTTCAGGGTCATTTACCGCATACCTACGAATCTCAATTTCGCCTTAAGAGTTCGACTACTGAATATTGCTGAGGGTGTTGGGATCCACATTAAGAAGCTTAATTTGTGTGTCCAAAAGAAGAAGCTAGTTCAGACATTATCCTTACCGCTTTGCCATCTTCATTTGAATGATCCTCAATTTTTTTGGATTTTTCCTAATTTTAGTTGATATTCTATTTGTAATTATATCTTTATTATTATTATTATTATTTAAGCATCTGTAAAGAACCGTGTCAATTCGATTGATCTTACTTTACAAATCGATATAATTTAAAGAACACTAAACACTAAAACTTTCACTTATCTAGGGAGCATTGTCTCAACTACAGGCAGTTGGAACGGACGAGGATGTCAAATCAAGAAGTGGGACGGCGAGAAACGCATTCATCAACCTGAAACTGATCTGGAAATCTTCGTCACTCAGTATCAGTAACGCATTTCAGTTGGATTTTCAATACAAACATCAAGTCAGTGAGTTCTGCTATACGGATCAGAAACTCGGCGAGCGGGTCACAAAGAATATTTCCAACAGCCTGTTGCATACCTGTATCAACCAACAACTGTCTCCGCTCTATAATGAAGATCAGATGGCCGGGCCGGAGAGAATCACCAACAGGAAACTATGGGAACGAACAAAGCAAGAACCGATCGCCCGACAATTATGCAGGATAAGTGGAGATGGATTGGACATTCGCTGAGGAGGCTGCTGGGTGACATCGCGCGTCGGGCCATTGCTCAAGTGGAAACCGAAAGGAAAGCGGCGAGTGAGACATCAGTGCGGGGGTGACATGGAGGAGATCGTGTGAAGAGGAGTTGAATCAGTATGGAATAACATGGATGCAGGTGAAAAGTACAACAGAAGAAAGACAGAAGTGGCAAATGGAGATGTGCAGTTGAAGTCCTATGTTCCACTAGGAACCCAAGGGAGCAATAATAATATTGTTATTGACCACTATTCAAGAATATTCTATGTATATAAACAAGAATATATAATTATAAAGGCAGAAGAGGAATTTATCGAAAAGGATATGCTTCGCTCAATTATTTTGTGTTCTATAGATGTCTGAATAAAAATTTTCGCTATACAATGGAAGCTTGAATGCTACAGCTTGAAGCCTTGTGTTTCACTTGTGACATAAAAGAATTATTATAAAAATAAATGAAAAATGACTTGAAAACTCACCAAATTCAGATTCAATACAAAACGAGTTGTGAAATGTGATCACAGCAATTCATCATAAATCAGATAATTGTAACTTTTAACAACACGCAAGCGTTAGTTTCAAACTCTGATCTCTGTGTGATATGAAGATTCTAGTGTCTGCTTATTTGCATATAGACGATGACTTAGCAATCGGTTTGGACATTATCTTAGGGAGCGCTTTTCGATCAGTGAGCTACTTTTTGCCTTAATTTATCAAACTCTCATTTCTTTGCTATTGTTCACCCCGAAGTTCTGGAAATTATTGAATTCCGTTAACTTTCGAACGCTTAAACTCTGGATTTACTATTATTGACTACTAATACCTATAACAAAGTTTGTGGACATTTGTATCTTTTAACAACAACTCATATATAAAATTGTATATATTATTGGATTTATATGTTCAAGTTGTCCCAAGGCAGTAAGTCTAGGGTTCTGGTATCATTTTAGTTAACTGTGCTGAACTATATTGCATGTTGTTTTATTGTATCGTTGTTGTCGCTTTTTGCCCTTTTTGCTGTGAATTGTTTTCCTTTTGTTGGTGTTGTTCTGATTACTTTATCCCTTGTTATCTGATTTTATGGGGAGCAACCCAAAAGGTCGCTTCTCTCTAAACTTTATCTTAATGTAACAATTACTTTCTCAGGCGTGAGGCTAGCAACCCCACCCTGTAAACAAAATTACAACAGAAACTTCAGCAGAATGAACCTATTTGCACCAAAAGAAAAAGTCTGTGTGGGGACATGGAATGTCCGAACTATGTACGAGACACGGAAAACTGCCCAGATAGCAAACGAGATGAAAAGATACGGAATCCAAGTGCTGGGAATATGTGAAAGCAGATGGAATGGGATTGGACTCACCAAATTGTCAACGGGTGAGTCAGTGATCTACTCCGGTCATCCATAAGATAACCACACGCACACCGAGGGCGTGGCTATCATGATGTCACCAACGGCAACGAAGGCCCTGATGCAATGGGAGGCGATCTCGTCCAGGATAATGACCGCCAGATTCAACTTCAAAGGAAGCAAAGTGTCAATTATACAATGTTATGCACCCACAAACAACGCAGACCCCGAAAAGAAAGAAGAATTCTACAGACAACTACAGGCAACAATCGACAATACTTCAGCTGGTGACATGAAAATACTAATGGGAGACATGAACGCCAAGATAGGACCAGACAACACAAGAAGGGAACTCACCATGGGTAGAGAAGCTCTCGGAGAAATGAATGAAAATGGAGAACTCTTCGCCGACTTCTGAGCCTTCAACGAACTAGTGATTGGTGGCAGTGTATACAAACACAAAGATATCCACAAGGCTACATGGGTGTCACCAGATGGAAGAACCAAAAACCAAATTGGCTTCATCTCAATCTAAAGGAAGTGGAGGAGCAGCCTACTGGACACAAAAGTAAGAAGATGAGCAGACGTTGGCTCAGACCACTATCTCGTACAAGGGACAATCCAAATCAAACTAAAACCTTTCAGAGAAGGAGGAGCTGCAGACAGACCACAAGCCAAGTTCAACACTCAGAAGCTAAAGGATCAGGCTACAAAGGACATCTTCATTGCAAGCGTAAAGGACAAAGCCGAGACACAAATCAACACCAGCGAAAAGGTCGGCGTCGAAAAGCACTGGGACAACTTGAAAATGGTGTGGAGCCAAACCTGCATGGAAGTTCTAGGTAGAAAGATGAGGCAGGACAAACAGTGGCTCACTGCAGACACTTGGAAACTAATAGAAGAGAGAAGGACAGTGAAACAAAAGATTATCCAGTGCACTGACGAGCAACAAAAACAGGAGTTGAATGCAAGCTACAATACACTGAACAAAAGAGTGAAGAAGAGTGCCAGGGAAGACAAAAGAAAATATTATGAAACCATGGCAAACGAAGCAGAACAAGCTGCAGGCAAAGGAGACCTCGCCACACTCTACCAAACAACTAGGCACCTATCGGGCAAACGTTCGACACAGATTAAGCCACTAAAGAATGACAATGGAAAGTCAATCACCAAAGAAGTGGAGGAAAGGAAACACTGGGCTGAACACTTCAAAAGACTTCTAAATCGACCGCCATCTACATCGCGCCCAACAATACCAACAACGGAAGCAGAACAACCAGTGAACATCAAGCCTCCTCCACCGATGAAATCAGAAGTCCTAAGGGCAATCATGATGTTAAAAGCTGGAAAAGCAGCAGGACTCGATAGAATTCCAGGAGAAGCATTGAAAATGAACTCGGAGATAACGGCTGACTTGATGACAGCATCATCACCTGAGAAGGTATGGAAAGAGGGCAAGGTACCCGAAGACTGGAAAAAAGGATACCTATTCAAACTGCCAAAGAAATGGGACTTAAGTCAATGCAAGATCTGGCGCGAACTTATGCTCGTGTCAATCCCAGGAGAAATACAAAAGCGCATCATCCTTGAGAGAATCAAACAAGCCCTGGATGAAAATCTTCGACCGGAAGAGGCTGGATTCAGGAGAAAAATGTCATGTATTGATCAAATCGCCACACTACGCGTCATCATTGAACAAAGCTTGGAATGGCAGTCACCTATCTATCTCAACTTCATCGACTTTGAAAAGGCCTTCCACAGCGTCGATCGAGAGGTGATTTGGCAACTACTTCGCTACTACGGGATCCCATCGACAACTACACATATCATCCAACAGTTATACGACAATGCTGCATGTCATATAATCCATAACGTGAAACTCACGGAAGCCTTCGAAGTGGAGACGGTAGTGAGACAAGGCTGCCTACTATCGCCAATGACCTTCCTGATTGCAGTAGATTGGATAATGCGACAGACAACGAGCAATGAGGAAACAGGCATAAAATGGATTCAAACAAAAGACTTGAAGGATCTGGACTTCGCCGATGATATATGTCTGATCTCACACAGATTGGAAGGTAAGTACTTGAAAAACAAGAAGTTGACAAAGGAAGAAGCATCAAATATAGGACTTCACTTCAGATGAACACTGTGAAAACAGAGGTGATGAAGACTTCTGGCCAACACCTACAGCAACAACTTTAGACAACAATCAGCCAGCATAAATAGGAGAAATCTGAATGAAACAACCTCCCTTATCTTTCAAGGAAGCATAGTTTCAACTACAAAGGAACTGACGAGGATATCAAATCAGTGAGAATCTGGAAAACAACGCAAGCTCTCAATGTTCTCAATTCTGTATGGAGGTCGACACCACTCAGAATGAAAAATAAGATCTGGATATTCAACTCCAATGTAAAGCCAGTGCTATTATACGAATCAGAGACTTGGCGCGTCATAACGAGCACCTCAGACAAACTACAGACCTTCATCAACACCTGTCTTTTCTCAATACTTCTCCAAAGATCAGATGGCCATCCAGAAATGATCGGCAGCAGGGATCTCCCAAAATGAGCGAACAAACCCAAACAGGAACCAATTGTGCAACAAATAAGCAGAAAGAAATGTAGGTGGATTGGTTGGCCATACTCTGAGGAAACCATCAAGTGACATCACTTGACAAGCCCTCGAGTGGGACCCGAGTGAACGGGAAGCGGTGAGTCGGTCGTCATTGCGAGGGTGACTTGGAAGAGGTGATGTGAAATTGAGATGAAACCATGTGGGCAGACGTAGAGCTGGGTGAAACCTCTAGGAGAGAAACGAACGCAATAAAGACGTGCAGCTGAAGCCCAATGTTCCTCTAGTAATAAAAGGATATAATAATAATAATATTAATCCAGTCCCTTTTTCCATTCCTTTTCTTTGTTCCTAACGGCAAATAGGGCTCTGAAATTTGAAGTTTAAGTAAAAGTGTTGTTCTTCACTGAGTGAACCTGCTAGACTGATGCCCAGCACCACTCTCCAGCTGGCCTACTACGGGCTAAGCAAGATTCTAGAGTTTCGAACCCGGAACTGCTGCATGGTTGGCTTCCATCCTACCACTTAACTTATATATATATATATATATATATATATATATATATATATATATATATATAATTGCTGAAAGAGTATGATTTCAAGAATAATATCAATAGTAATAATAATATCTTCATTAAAACGTCAACTTTTCAACTCTTAAAACCGAATGCCACAATCTAATTGATAAGCAACTTACCTGCTATTGCAAGGTTGGTGAAAAATCTGTTCAATCGTGATTTATGCGCACTTTTCAATGTCCATATTAATACGCTAGAATTGCCAACTACGATAAATATAAGTAGGACATATTGAATAACAAGTGCGAAAATTCGGTGCTAAAAGAAAAAAAATATATGCAGTTCAGTACACAAGGCAAACAGATAGAAAATATATTTGAAAAATCACGTCGATTAATTCCTTGAATTCATCAGTTTATCACTCAGTGAATTTTTCGGCCCATTATCATAGTGCCATGTCAGGGTTTTATAACCAACTGTAAGCTTAATTTTTAGGTGGTTTTAAACGCAATAGTTCATTGGTCAGTACTCTTCTGTCGGTATCCCTCCTAATGTTACAAATCATATAGACAGTAATTTTAGTGGTTTTCATACCCTTGATGTATTTAAATGTCTACAGTCTCTTAAGCCTTCTCAAAGCCTTGGTCGTGATGGTTTACCTGCCCTAGTCCTCAGGAAATATGTTGATATTTTATTGTTCTCCTCTTATTAACAATTTTAATGCTTCCTTTTCCAGTAATAATCTATATTTTGCATGGAAAAACATTAAAATTATCCCCATACCAAAACCATCTTCTGGTAGTGATATTAAATTTCGGCCTATTGCAATTACTTCTCCTTTTTTAAAATTGATGGAAAAATTGCTTTTACTTCGTCTTGAACCTTCATTGAAAACTTTTAATGATCCTAAACAATTTGCATACAAACATGGTAGATGTACCTTGGATGCTGCGGTTGTCGTACATCATAATGTTGTTGCTTATTTAGACAAAGGTGCCAAATATGTTCGTGGTGCTTTCCTAGACTACATATCTGCTTTTGATTCTGTACTTAGAGGCCTTTTATTAAATAAGCTTTCGTCGACGCAAATCAAGAACCGTGAGACAGTGAAAGTATTTGATACGTTTCTTAAGTTTCTGTCTAGCTTGCCATACAGAATTTATATTGACAGTTTTTTATCGTGAATATTATTCACTTCCAATACGAACATAATTTGGTTGGTTTTGAAATATTCCGAAATTTCAGAGATATAGAAGCTGGAATTTACTACTGTCATGTAGAACATTCTTCACGATTAAGGCCTGACAAACATGCAGAAAAAAAAGGGATATGGAGTAAGTATATCCGGAGGAGATGTTTGACTGACACTACATGTCAGCCTCTATTCTAAGATCCTATTAGAAAGCGACAAGTTGTGCGTCTATAGGGTGACACGGGGAAGATCGCGTGTGAAGCAGAAATGAAAGCTTGTAAACCGTTGTAAAGCCAGCTGAAACGGATCGCAGACGACTGCGGGGAGTATAGAAGTGCTGCTAATGGCTTATGTTTCACTTACAACTCAAAGAATGAATATTAACAATAATAATTAAGTTTGAATGTACATAAAGGTTCAGCGAGCCGGTGGTTTAGCGGTTGGAGCGCTCGCCGACCATGCACATGGTCCGGAGTTTGATCCCCGGCCGATGCACTCCTTTACCTCGCTAAGCCAGAAATAATGTTGGTAAAGAGGAAAAGTTGGGCATGAGGCTAGCAACCCCATCCTGCAAACCATTAGCTTAAAGCCCTATGTTCCACTGGGGAACGTGAAGTTAAAAAAAGTTCAGCGATCGAAATCACCTCAAGTGGTGAAATAAGACATGTTTAATTAATAAACTCCCTTTGCGTCGGTGTTACAGCGGTTAGGACGCTCGTCTACCACAACTCAAGTGGTCTGGAGTTCAATCATCGGCCATAAATGCACTTCTTTACCTCGATAAGCCAATTGTTAGACTGGTAATGAAGGAAGGTGGTGCATGAAGTTAGCGAAACCATCCTATAAAAATAAACACTGCTATAGTAATTTCAAGCCTCTAGCTTGAAACCTTATATTCCACTGGGAATGTGAAGGAATTTTAAATTAATGTTCAATTCCCTAGATAGCAGCATTTATCCAAGTAATAAATTATTTATTTCCATTCCTCTATACCTCAGGACAAATGAATCATACATGAAATTTTATTTCATCCAGTTTTTTCTTGATAAAGCAAGAACAACAGTGATTTTTGCAGAATAAAATGATATCATCATTTGTTTCGTCGGCTTCTCATCAGCTGCTAGCAGGTCAAAGTCATTATTAAATATGAGGTTACAGAAACAATTTTAACAAACTTCCACATATAATCGACAAGCAAGTAGAGTTTAAATGGTTTAATTTAGAAATGTATAAATCATTCAAATGAAATCTAAGTCTTTGAGCCATTTCGTGATCCATTAATGATCCCACTTTTCCAAAAGTCGTCTTTCTTGTGAAGTCGAAAGTCTGAATTGATATAAGTATAAAATTTGGGCTTTGTGCTAAAGTATAAATTCATTATGAATAAGATTTTATTTTCATAAAGTGTCACACATTGGTGTTATATATTTATATTAACCGATGCGACCACGTTTCGAGGACAAACTGTTCCCGCTCATAATCATATCAAGACACTACTCACTCAAACAACATTTTCCTTCATTTATATACATGTGTGGTATTGAAGAACAGACATTTGAGTACAAAATCAATATAAGATAATGCTCATTCAGAAATAATAATTTTTTTTATTTATTTATTTTTTTTGATTTACAGCTTGATTCCACACTGTATTTTCGGTACAAGTGTGGAATTTTCAGCATGGATATCGGTAGCCCAAATTTTGCAGGCCGACCATAGATATCAGATGTGCGTCGGTGCGGGCTCGAACCCCGGACCATGTGCATGGTCAGCGAGAGTCCTAACCACTGTGCCACCGACGCACATCAGTCAAGTGCAATCACATAAGACGAGTGTTTTTATGGTAAAATAAATAACTACTTAGAATGTTGTGATGTACGTGGATTGAATTGAAATCGAATTTTGAGATTGTTTATTATCCTCCTGTGATATGGCTGGCTGACTGACTGACTGACTAGTGGTAATCATATCTTCCATGCATATCTCTGGTATTTGCATTGAGTCATTTGTGTTGCATGTGTTGTGTTGGATGTAGGTAGACGGGATGAACCAGGCAGGATTCAGTAATCAACCGCTGTCTATTTCCACCTACCTATATTACTTCTTAGAATTTTGACTCTCTCCCACCAGACTATTGTGTAGTTGTCGGTTAATAGATGCAGTGCAATGTACTACTGAGCGTTTTCTAAATATCTTATCTCCTTGAGGTCAAACATTCTTACCTTAGCTAAATTCTAATGTTCTTACAGACAATCAGACTATCTTCGACTTACTAATTTGACCTATATAGTTGGCCACACTCACAGTCATTGAGGGGTATTTTGTAAATTATATTACTTTATCTAATTGGGTCCACGGGGTCTTGTAGCCCACAGAGCTAAATATCTATTAGAATGCGTGGGCAATTTATAAACACTAGTGTCCAGTTTACCTTCTTCTATTCGTTTTATTTTTACAATCTAACATCACAGCTAATTCTCCTTGTTCATTTTCCGATTCAAATGTGAATTGTATTCCCTCTACTAGTGAAATTATATTTGTCAAGAAGCTATCTTAGCGGATGTGTTTATGGGCATCTGGTGAAAAAGTGCTCTCAATACATTTAATACTACTCCAAAATATGGTGGAGATATGTGGATGACACTTTCACAGTGTTAAAAAAAGAACATATCTCTAGCTTCTTAATGCATATAAACTCACTAGTAGAGGGAATACAATTCACATTTGAATCGGAAAATGAACAAGGAGAATTAGCTGTGATGTTAGATTGTAAAAATAAAACGAATAGAAGAAGGTAAACTGGACACTAGTGTTTATAAATTGCCCACGCATTCTAATAGATATTTAGCTCTGTGGGCTACAAGACCCCGTGGACCCAATTAGATAAAGTAATATAATTTACAAAATACCCCTCAATGACTGTGAGTGTGGCCAACTATATAGGTCAAATTAGTAAGTCGAAGATAGTCTGATTGTCTGTAAGAACATTAGAATTTAGCTAAGGTAAGAATGTTTGACCTCAAGGAGATAAGATATTTAGAAAACGCTCAGTAGTACATTGCACTGCATCTATTAACCGACAACTACACAATAGTCTGGTGGGAGAGAGTCAAAATTCTAAGAAGTAATATAGGTAGGTGGAAATAGACAGCGGTTGATTACTGAATCCTGCCTGGTTCATCCCGTCTACCTACATCCAACACAACACATGCAACACAAATGACTCAATGCAAATACCAGAGATATGCATGGAAGATATGATTACCACTAGTCAGTCAGTCAGTCAGCCAGCCATATCACAGGAGGATAATAAACAATCTCAAAATTCGATTTCAATTCAATCCACGTACATCACAACATTCTAAGTAGTTATTTATTTTACCATAAAAACACTCGTCTTATGTGATTGCACTTGACTGATAACACTCATATTATTATTTCTGAATGAGCATTATCTTATATTGATTTTGTACTCAAATGTCTGTTCTTCAATACCACACATGTATATAAATGAAGGAAAATGTTGTTTGAGTGAGTAGTGCCTTGATATGATTAATGGCGGGAACAGTTTGTCCTCGAAACGTGGTCGCATCAGTTAAATGTACTAACTGTATAACACCACCTTACACCACTGAAATCTTATCCATAGTGGAGTCATTAGTCTGAACTAATTAAAAGCCTTCTAATATTTACCTGGCACTAACAGGTTCGCAATGATGCCTCTTATTAATATGTCAACTAGTGTGTGTATATCTTATCATCACCGATAAATCAGTAGTCATGTATGCACTGCATAAAGTCAAATCTTGTTTTTAATCTTTAAAGAAGGTAATTATACTTGTCAGTTATTCAGTTCACTGCAAACATTGTTCCAGTATCAATTTTATTTTTGCTTATTCGAAATGTATTCACTGAAAATGTTAATGCGCTTCTTCATACTACTAATTAATTTCTGATGTTTTGATTAATGTGAATTGCATCAGTTGTGATGGTAAGGTTAGATTACTTGTTGAATAAACTTTATACGAAGTATAATGTTGAGAAAGTTTTGAAAACAGAAAAATATTATAGCCTTCTGCATAAATAAACCGAATCAAATTTAGTAATATATTCAAATTTTCGAGTG